CGTTGCACATCCATCCTGTCTCTATGACAACAATCTGTTGACTACGGCAGCTGCATGACCGACACAGCTCTGTTGCTTTTAACTGTATGTTTTTAATTTGAGATTGTTTCTTTCCTGATCAGACATGGATCAAAGAAGATGCGGGTACAAGACACGATCCATAGGATACTAAATTACAGGGAATATCATGTAAATAAAAAAATAGCGGATGTTTTAAAATTAAATGTCTGTTGAAAATCCTGTTTGGCTATTTACACCTTGCATAATCATCATCCAGAGGCGATACTTAAGTACAATGAGAAGAGAGGACAAACATTCCTTCATTTCATTTTTGGCAGAAAGAAACTCTCATGTATTCCGATCAGTTACTGTCAGAAGCTGCCTGAGAAATAAAGGTTTTAGTTTTTTTTTTATTTGAGTGAGGACTGCATCTGTGGTTTGTAATCTGTGTTTTTGTTCAGGTCAAAGCAGATCAGCATACTTTTTTCTGAAGCCAATGACAGATAGCCCAACGACATGTCAAGTTGTAAGGCTGAAGATAACAAGTGAGGCTTAGAAGTGAATATATAAAGTTCGGTGTATGTGGTTTAGCATCAGGATGTGTGGGACTGTGAGTCTGCACAAACCAGTGGGCATAGCCAATATGACTTTGGATGTGAGCTTCTCTTTTAAAGCTTCGAGTTAAATATTTTGCCCATGCTATCTTGTTTTTTGGAACCAAGTAGTGACCATAGCTGGTTGATAGAATAGAAAAACATTGGTAGGCCTCTGTCCTTGTTGACAGGCTACCATGGAAACGACTGTCAGTCACAGTTAGAACGTCATAAGGCTTGCCCTGATTTAACCTCCAGTATACACTATAAATGGGACTTTTTTTTTATAACATTAACTTAATTGCTGTGAAAGGAATGAGGTATTTCGATAACTGAGAAGTAGGCTAAATTTTGCATTTGGTTCGTTATACCCAGTGGTGTAGTGGTACCAGGAGAAGTAGGTATACTCTTAAGTCACGTTCCTTAATTACATTTTTTAGGGGTCCTGTCCAGTAACAGATAAACGCCCTGCATTATAACCAGTGACATGTAAGACTAAATATGGGCCCTTAGAAATTACACATTGTGGCACACAATAGCGTGTGACAAATAATAAATATAATTATGCATTTCGAGGGAACTACTCCTTATTCCAGAGCAGTGATGGGGTTAATGTGATACAAAGCATCGTGTCAGAGTGCTCAGAAAACGTATATGTAAAGCAAAACATAACATATTAGTTTTGCAATTCAGTTTTAAATTTATGAAGTTACGCTTTCAAATAAGCAATTTGTTACTTTTAAAATATTAACTTGAACAAACTAAAAGAGAAATCCCTGACTATGGTTGAGTAGGGGTGCAGGTGTAGCTCAGGTTGAGCAGCTAGAGCGATGAAAGAGATTTATGAAAGTATTTGTATTAACTGACAGGGCAGGCAGGTAGAAGTCAGGCGAGATTTATTTTTCCTATGGCATCGGCAAATTATCAAGACACACGGCTCTCCCTCTGATTGACTTAACCTGATATTCTCACCAAACCAACTAACCAACCAACCAACTAGGGGCAGCTAAAGCTCAGTGGGTTGAGTCGGTCGCCTCTCAACCTGAAGGTTGGGGGTTTGATCTCCAGCTCCTGCAGCCACATGTCCAATGTGTCCTCCTTGGGCAAGACACTTAACCCCGGGTTACTGAGTCAGCAGAATGTGTATGAATGGGATTAGTTACTTCTGATGGTCACTTAAATAGCAGCCTCTGCCATCACTGAATGGGTGTGAATGGATAGGTGTGACCGGCAGTGTAAAAGCACTTTGAGTAGTCGGATTTACCAACCAACCATCTCTTGCTGTGTATTTGTGAGACTCCAAAGGTTTGAGAAAGCTTCAGTGTGCGTTGATCTGGAAATGGAGCAGGCTTGGGGGATCAAAGAGGTAATCCAGTGGGGGGGGCCTGGCTCCCCCTATTGCTTTGCTCCCTTAGCCAGGTTTGTATTCATGGTACAGGTTTATAGAGCTATGGCAGTTGACTCATTGTTCTGTGTAAATATGAGTGTGGCCAGTCCAAAGATTTATTACTTGTTTCAACATCATCATTACTCTAATCCTCTGAGAACATGTGTATTTTAAGCCAGAATTTATTGCAGCCTAATGTTTGCTTTTGTCATAAAAAAGATACGAGCACTTTCCAGTGTGCCGAGTAAACTGTCTCTTTCGCTCTAGAGTAAACTACACACTTTCCACACACACACACACACAAAGTGTTTCACCTCCTCAATTGCTCCTAACAAATGAGTTTAAATAAGGCTATTTAGATGTAAGTGTGGTACTTCATCATTTCTCTGCTGCAATAATTATTGGACTCTCGTTTTTTCCTCGCTCATTTCCACTCAATGCGGAAGCGGCTGGCTGCTTGAATTATGCATGTTTGTTTGTTGGTTTCATTGCACAAGCAGATGTCTCAGCTGGAATAATGGGGGTTCTAGAAAGTTATTATGTTGTTGCGGGCCTTTTTTTGTTCTCCGGTTGGAGATATGGTGAGCACTTTGGGGTCTTTCGGCTCAATATGAATGAGATCTTCTGACATGGCTGCATATATTTGATTTTCGGTTCTTCCTTTTACCAAGCTTGAATTGGTCAGGGAGGGCGTTTGTTGCTGGGAGACAATATGATTGTAGCTTCATTTCCATGTTTCTGCTCTCTAACTCTTTGTGTCATATCATCACTGAGCTTTCACCCGAACCGACTTTAATATCTGCAATGGAGTTCCTTTTTCTCCACACATAAATCAACATTGTGTTTGGGGCAGACACACAGAGGAAACACAACTACTGTATATTATGTATCGCTGAATCATAGACTTCATCTACCCTCACACTTATCTCTTTTGACTGATACATGACAATGTAGAAAACAACACAGACTATTTCAGTCTCTTTTTAGGGAGCATTGTTTGCCGCTACAACACTTTCTAATAATGTAGTTTTAGCAGAGTTTACAACACCATTGAGGATTTATTTTCTACTTCTGTAGAACTGATGAAAAAGGCTTTGGTGACCTTGTAAACCCCACTCCTACTCCTTCCAACCTTGTTAAACTGTAATTGTATTCCTGTCATTCAGACCTGGGCAATGTTGAAATTTGTATGCTCAAGTACAGACACACTGAATGTACAAATTCTTCCCGATATTGACTTGCAGCCCTTTTTGCTCAGTCTGCATCCCAACTGGCTCAGCACATTGAAATACCCTCCTCTATCGTGTCTATCTCCATCTGCTCTTTGGTAAAACTGCTCTCACTTTCTCCTCTAAGTTGCCCGAAGCCTTAAAAGACCTTCTTCAACCTGACTCTTGATCATCCCCACCTCCCCCAGGCCAAGCTGAGGCCGAAAATGTGTTTGAATTTTTGCTCTTTGCTTGATAGTTTTACAAGGCACGTAAAACATATGCTTCAAAATGTCTCCAATCGGTAACAGTTGGCTGAAAGGCGATGACATTGCAGAAACCAGATTTAAGTAAGAATGTCTGACTTCTGGGAGACACACAGAAAACAGATCCAATTTTACTTTGAAACTGAAGCAAAAAAAATACTTTTGTCAACTGAAGAGATGTTTAAAAAGTAGAAAGGAAAGTGTTTTTTAACAACCACAAGATATTCCAAAAGAATAAACAAGGTCTTTGATACTCCAAGATCTGAGAACAGACAGATGCACAACTGTTACAAATATTATTTTGGTTACTTTGACTCACTCCTCTTTATAGTGAAGTATTAAAATGTCTGCATGTGTTTTTCCCACAGCTGGTAAAGATCCCATTCCAACACTTGTCGCTTCTGATCTTGATAATCGTCTGCTTCAAAATGCGATCTAGCCTGGGGACAGATGCTTAAGACACAGTCAAACAGCATAGTGTGTATGAAATGCAAATGAAACAAGCTCAAGCTGATTTTACACAGATTTTGCCTGATGTATAATGTTAAACTAAACTCTGACAACAGCCAAGCCAATGTCATACTCAAGGCAAATTGTGCTTTCAACAAAGGCAGGAGTGTATATTATCATTAAGGCAACTCATTGGGCTCCCAATGGAGTTATGTGAGAATCTGTTCATCTAGTACAGATTCACAAACTTTTTTGGCTTGTGTACCCACTTTCAAAATTTTTTGCAGCCAAGTACCCCCTTCTCCGGCCAAGAACATTTTCCGTCTCCCACCTCATTTTCCCCAACTGGTTCATGACCTTGTTTCAACAGCCTGTTCATTTTGATCTTCCTGGCTGTTTTCTTGTGAGCATGCGAATGCATGTGCTTACTCGCTGAACAATTCACATCACCAGACAGATTCCCTCAGGTCGAAGCAGCTCTACATATAATGTAAGCTATATTATAAATGAATATCCTCGAGTTGGAAATAGTGCCCTATTTGATGTCGCATAGAGAACATATGCTGTTAATTCAGTTGTCTTAAATCGGTGTATGGATTTTCCTATAAATCCTTTATTTGGCTTGTTGTGATGCAACTTTTTTTAAATGACATTTGTGTCGCATACCCCTTGCAGTACTCCCGCGTACCCCTAGGGGTACACGTAATCCCATTTGAGAAACACTGATCTAGTACAATAAAATCATGCCACTCCTCATTCTCATCCAAGTTACATGTCCACAAATATCTCCATTTTAAGACACTATATACCTGCACTCCGGCTCTGCAAAAGAGGGATTCATCCATTCTTTCTATCTGACAGACTTAAGGTATAGGTAAGGTATAAGGTAAACTAATGTGAAACCACACACTGGGACCCCAACATTAGGCCGTTGCTGGTGAAATGTGGAATCAAAGGCGTAATCCCGGCTGATAGGGCTGAATGGCCTTCAAATCATTAAACCCTCCTCTTATTGTACAGTTATTGCAAAGTATACAGTAGAATAAAGCTTAAGAATGAGAGCAATACTACAAATGAATAATAACTATAAACTTACCATTATAGCAAGTCCTACATGAGCACAGTGCAGTAGAAATGCAGGGTTAGCTGTGTGAAGCTGTCAGGCAGTAGACAGTGTGCCCAGCGGGACTCTCACAGAGATAGCTCTTCCACCTCAGAGCCTTCATTCAAGTCTGGGTCATGGACCCTTTCTCCTCCTTCTCCTCCTCCTCGCGAGATGGAGGCCACAGGACTCTCTGGTGGTCTGTAATGAGCTTAGGAGTCAGCACCTATATCACACAAGCACACAGAATGTGTATAGACATTGAGATAAATCTGTGTGTGAGGAAAGGCAAACAGTTCAGAAGCTACAGTATAAACACATATGCATCCTGTGAGCATTATGTCCAATAAAATAAACATACACAAAAATTGCCTTAACAAAAAAAGAATGCATTCTGGCACATTGTGCAAAGCATGTTTGTGCACACACCTGCGAAGGCAGAGCAGCCCTTTGAGGCAGGATTAATGAAGCAGCAAACAAGGCCGCACTCGGCCGCAGTCAACAAGAGCTCCTCAGTTTCTTTGCTCATCTTCTGTAACACTTTGTCTGTTTTACAACACATATCTGTCTTCTGTGCAAGTGGTTCTTGTTTTCTCTGATTCTGTCTGAAAGCCTATATCTCCCTTTTGTAGTGCAGTGAAATTAGGTTATCTACCCTTTGTTTCAACAACTCCTAGCAGATTTATTGAAGTGTATGGGGAGGCGGGGGCGGTGTTTAAAACTTCCTTTTTTTAGTCCTACTGCTGTGCTTTTTTCAATCCCCTTCGTCAAATCTAAATCTTTCTACTGATGCTAGCAACAGAGTGAGATACTGCGCTAACCAGACGCCGAGCTAGACTTGAATATTTAAAAAAAAGATAGTTGCCTTCTTCTCATTACTTGTTAGAAAAATAATACTGGACAAGACATAGCTAACTATCTAGCTAGCCACACCTTGCTCTAAAAGAATTATATATAAGAGATAGACAATATTTTGCTAGCTAATGGTAACAGGAAAAGAATATGGCTTCCTGATGTGAGGTCTATTTCCCTATCCCCCAAATTAGAATTTTACTTTGTATTATATCAAGCCACATGTGTAGCTTAACTAGTCAGGCAACTAGAATAAAATATTTAAACAATCCATGACTTTTTACCCGCAGTCGAAATTGGAAGGGATGAATAGAAAGACATATTGGTGGTGTAGCCTATAGCTCTCAATATGATGGATGGATGGATGTGGATGTGGATGATTGGATGGATGGACGTGGATGTGAATGTGAATGTGGATGACTGGATGGATGGATGGATGGATGGATGGCTCATTCTCTTATTCTCTTTTCTTGTACTCCCACAGTGCAGTAAGTCAGGAGCTTGTATTGAGTGGGTGCCTATTAGCAGTTCCCCTATGGCCAAGTTGAATGTCAGGGATATTAAGTTTCCTTCCTCTGACCTCAATACTGAAAATAGAATTAACTGTAAGAGTAAGGAAGAAAATGATTTCAGAAACAGACGTATTCTGAATAAAGAATACGTCTGTAATTATCTAACCCAAAAATGTTGTGTGACTTTCACCATGACACCTAGCTTAATAGATTTTTATCTCCAATCAATGCTGCATTTTCTGTCTCTGTCCAGTTAGGGCAATACATTAAAGCTGCAATATCATTAAAATAAACATGTCAGTGTACACATCCTTATCAGCTACAGTCAGTGATGATGATGAATAGATGTTAAAACCAGCAATGTAATGAATATTGAACTTTAAAATTCCCCTCCATCTTCTGCCTCCTGTTCTCTCTTTTTTTGTGGCATAGTGACACCTGCTGGCCAGCTGAGAAACAAAATGCAGGTAGTTTTAATAAAGAATAATTATTATGCCAAATAAATATTCCATAATTTCCCCTCACACACACACGCACACACACACACACAGACAAAGTACACACCCAATAACGTTCACATGCAGGTTTGAATAAACACACGAAGACTGCACACTAACTTAAGACAAACACAAATTTATCTTTCTGAGACTTCCATTAAAAAAAAAAAAAATATGCTGAAGATAAGACTCGGGTTGCATTTGGTGCTTCTGTTTACCTCCGCCGACTGAGCAGGAAATATAATTCCCACTGTGTTTGAGAAGGCAGTATATGAAATCTCCTCCATCTGTGCTTTGTTGAATTATAGCAGAAACTGCACAGTGCTCCATCAGTGTCAGGCAGACCTGTAGGTGACAGCAGGGAGGATGAAAAGACAAAGGGTGAGCATCAGGTGGGTGGCAGGGTGTCATGGTGACCTGGGGTGCATTAAATGTCATCTTTTGAAAAACTACAATGCACAAGTTTTTATTGCAATTCATATAGGAGTTGTATCAGATGACAGGAAAGGCAGCAGAGAGACGTAAGCAAATATTAGATACACTCCTACATTACCCACTTGCAAATACTAGGATCAAATACTTAATTAAGTCATTCTGTTGGGATCTATTCTGCGCATTTAATGTCGTTTGAGCGTTTGGATACAATTTTTGCTTGTAAATCGGATTTTAAACACAACCCCAGTTAAATAAAGCTATATTAGGTCACATAAAACAAAGAAAACACATTACAGAATCATCCTTATTGTATAGAAAGAAAGAAGTGTATCTTAAAAGCACTTTTTATTACAGGTAAGCTCAACATGCTTTTACACAAAGGGGAAAAAAGGAATACAAGAGTTATTTCAACAATCATGAAGAGTATACCAGATATCAATCCTAAAGAGCACCTCGGGGTGTGGTGGAACGGGATAGTCGTCTCATGGATATGCAGCCCACAAATCTGCAGCAAGGAAGGAGGAATGAGGAATGTTTCCAGCATCTTGTTGAATCTATGCCACAAATACTTAAGGCAGTTCTGAAGGTAAAAGGGGGTCCAACCCGGCACTAGTAAGATGTAAATGTAAAGATGTAAATAATAAAGTGACCGATTTGTGTATTTGTCCGGTTGAATTTAAACAACCCTTTCCAGTATTTTACTAATAAAAGAGATATTTGAGATCGGGCTGCAGTTATTGATTATTGATGGATCCGGTTGTTTTTCTTTACCAAAAGCGTAATTACAGCACACTTAAGAGAAGAAGGGAAAAGGCCGGTCTATAGAGAGGTATTGGTAATGTTAACTATGTAACCTATAAAGCAGTGAGAGTCAGCTTTAAACAGTTGGGTTGGGATAGGATCGAGATCTGAAAAAACAAAATGATTTCATCCAGATTGTTTGAGGTCATCGGGAAATATTGGCCATTGTTATCATTATATACACACAGATAGAAAGAGAAAGCATTGCTGTGATCTCACTACAGAGGGTGCTATTCTTCTCATTGGCTGGTATTTGGGCCCACAGATGTAGCTCTTTCCTTTAGTCCTTTAGTTGATATGAATGGAATACATCAATACATTCTGTGTAGTTTTTGGCATTGAGGTAATCAACTTGTTTCTTGAAAACATATATCCAACACATTTGCAATATAATTATGGTATTAAGATTAGATAATAAAAAACTGGGATGTAGAAAAGGGAAAAATATTTCATTTTATTTAATACTTAGTAAATAAATACATTTCTGGATACTTTTCCTTTTTTTTGAAGATAACATTTTTTATCAGATATTGACAGTTTTTAGTTATACACGTTCATTGGTCTTTTTGAACTTTATGGGGAGCCAAATGGAAAATAGTAAAATATATTTGAAAGAAATTCTGGGCGCACATGTGTACAAAGGATATATATAAAAACATCTTAGAAGATATAGTTAGAAACAGCAAACTGTAGCACATATCGTTATCATAAGAGGAAGAAATTAATAGAAAATCTCTGCAAAACAACGTACAGTCTAAATTAATTTTTTACAAAATTAGACAAAACAATATGAACTTCCATTTATCCCACAAAGACATTACCAGTGTTTAGCATTAAATCAATGATAGGCACACAAACAAGCACTCTGTAATCACAGAGCACAAGTAATCACAAATTTAAACAACAGTAACAGAACTGCAATTTTGTTTCAGAAACAAACTACCAGACACACATTGCACACAAGAAGTTGGACATGTTATTGCGACTTGTGAGTTCCTTGTGTATCAGAATATCAAGATTGTATAATATGATTGACTCATGAGTCACATGTTTAAGTTTCAAGCTTGTGAGTTTGATGTTCTACTGGGAGCAGGCTTGGTCGAAAGGCTGACTATAGCAGAAGGAAAGACGTGTGTTGTGCGTTTCTTGGAGAACTCCTGAAAACACTTGTTTACTCACAATACAACAAAAGAGGCTTAGATGATTCACTTATAAAATACATGTACATGTATACTTCGGACCACTTTCCATTGATTTTCCCTTTGGTTACAGTGCCCTCCTGTTGAATCCTGAGGCTCCTTTAGGCACTTTTAAAGTTTAGCAGATGCCTTTAGCACACATCAAATAGTCAAGATTTATAACAGACAACAAAAAAAATCACTTCAATTGACCGTGGACTGTCCGCTAAGCCCATTTCTTTTCACTCTCTGTACAAAAACACCCATCATCTCGGAAAATGCAGTAAAACCAATCAATAGTTTATAGCATTCTTAACAAAAAGTGTGGTTCATTTTAAGAGTCCATATTGCACACTGGGCTAAAAATACAAGGTACAGCTACATATTTATTAACCAATGGCTCTGATCCTGAATGCAATCATGCACTTAAAAGCATACTCCTTATTAACCTTAGCTTCAAGCTCCCAAAGCTGATGCCAAAACCCAACCTGCACCCTCCTGCTGGCAACAACATCACAACTCCACCAATAGGAGCCAAGAGTAAGATGTTGGCACCCATTTTTTGGGCTCCATCTCCATGATGGTGCATCAAAGAAAATTTGGGAAAAAAGCTCTTTTCTACATGTTAGCCACAGTCAGATGAGGGGATCAATATCGAAGTGTTGGTCCAGGATGTATAACTGCAGGAAGGGAGTCTATAAGCTGAACTTCTTCAAATACTCACAAGGACTTCTCTCTCAACTCTGAAACATAGCTTAGTGTTCCTGTGATGGACACAGACACACAGTAAAAGGTTGTATGCCGCACAACTGACCACAACACTTGCATGTTTTTATTTGCAGCCATTTAAAAGAATAACACAGGCTATTTGTTTGGTTTAGCATTTGTTTGTTAGAACTTTTGATTTAAGGACACACAGTGGATTTATTTTGTCATCGTTTGTTTACCAAGTAAAGTTATTTTCATTAATTTCTCTTTTCTTTTGAGTTACCTGGCTGACGTGCTCTCCTTCCTGGTTTGAACAAAGGGTGAGGTTGAGGGTGGAGCTTAGCTTTGTGGAAGAGGACCATAACAAATGCTAGGACAGCATGGGGGGGATCTGGGTTCCTTGGCGTTAACTTTTAGTTATTTTGTGTGTAGTCCTCCCCTGTGTGTTGGGTTTGGTTTGGTCAGCTGGCTTAAATATCCCCCTCAGTTCTCATTCTGTCAGGTTAGTTGAGTTCATATCCTGTTCAGTTAGAACAAAGTTTCAGTAAAGTTATGTTTGTTTTGTTTTTTTTACCTCTTTTAACAAATCCTCTACTTGAATATTTTGATTCAGTTACTTTTTGCTTTTGTTAAAAATCATTTTTGAATAAAGAAACCTGATTTTTGAACTTTTAACCTGTGTTCTCTTGCCTTGACTGCTCGGTCCACGACAGTTTCCATTGGTAAATGTATTCGCATTGAATTAAAAAAAACAAATTCTGTGAATTACTGATCAACAGCATTACACTGGAGCTAAACAGATGAGCCAATATAAGGTAAGTATTCTTTGGCTTGACAGCGTTTCCATTTTACACCATAAACACTTGCATTGAAATGAGTCTCCTTATCTTTTCCCTCAGAACACGGTAATTGACTCAAACCAAGTTGAAGCCAATGAGCGTCTTTGTATTAGCCTGAGTAGTTTGGTGAAACTTTAAACCCATCTGCCATTTTGGGGGATTTTTAGTCAGTTTTTTGTGCACAAACACTCTTAGAAAAGAAGAAAAGGCAACAATGCTTCTCAGGCCCCTATAAAAGTATCCTTTTCCTCTTCTTTTTAACTCTGATTTAGCTGAAACTTGTTCAGCAGCTTCTGCTTACAAAGCACTAACAATTGCTCTTGATTATCTATGAAAAACCTACAAGGTCTTTTTTGGGGTAAAGTGTTGAACCGTTGCAGAGACAGAAGTAAAGATAATCCCCTTAACTGGTGTGTTGATTTTGGTGAAGTGCTTTCTAAAACAGGCATTTTGTGCTTTTATTGGAGAGATAGGAGAGTGGAAAGAGTCAGAAATCAGGGAGAGAGAGAGAGTGGGGAATGACATGCGGGAAAGGAGCCACAGGTCGGATTCGAACTTGGGCCGCCCGCTTGGAGGATTACAGCCTCCATACACTATCACAGTCAATAGATTTAAATCCAGTTAAACATCCATGGAAGATGAGGCACTAACTGTGCCACCAGCCCATCTTCCATCTATGAACAATATTTTTCATACCAATCAAATTATTCAGTGCCCCGTTGTGGCCTATGAATGGGGGATGTGTCATCCTGGAAGAGCAGGGAGGTTGGGGGTTCCATCTTCAACTTCTGAAGCCTACATGCTGAAGTGCCTGTGGGCAAGACACTGAACCCCAAGTTACTCTAAAAGGCATAGTCTGCAGTTAGTGAATGTGTATGAATGAGTAGATCAGTACAAATGGGCAGCTTGGCACTTGGCAATTGAACATTTTTAGGCTCTTTATTTTGAATTTCTGTGCTGTCTTTATCTGAGAGTCGTTGACGTGTTTGAATTAACCCTGCTTTTATATATCGAAATAAAGACAGATCGAAGGTTACGACATTAACTTAACCACAGAAAAATGTGTTAAGGAGAGCTCGTTTAGGATAAAACAATAAAATAAAAAAATGAAATTTCAGACCTTCATTAATCACATTTTATGAGTTAATGCTGAAATGCCCTTATTGTAAGAGGAAATAATTGCAGTCCATTTTCCATTTATCATCTCCCAGGATATAAATGTTTCATGTCAGGATAAAGGTGATCACTTTGAAGAACTTTTACATTGAACAGTATTCATTCTTCCTTCTAAAAGAACAAGTTAACCCAAACTATCAAAGCAAAATGTCCTCCACAGAATAAAAGAGCCAACAGCACACGTCCCTGCAGGGTTCAAACTTTCAGACCTTGAGGAAACACCACACATAGTCGCTCTCCTCGATGACCTCAACATCACACTTTGCATTGTCAACCCCTTTTTAATTTAGTAAATGAAATACTTGATGCAGTGAATCTGTGTGGAAAAAGCAGTGAACATCATTCTATGTATTCCTCATTTAAGTGGAAGAGTTAATGTGTCGTTTGGTAAGGAAGTGTCAGGTACAAGTTCAAGTCAAGTGTTTCTGTTTCTTCACACTTCATTCGAACTGTTCTTCTCCTTCAGGATCATTGGTTGTTTGATGACACAGCGTGCAATTGAATGTGATCATAATGCATTCATTCTTTGAGATAATGTTTTTATCTCTGCAAACAATATATACTATGTAGTTAACTGTCTCTCCCTCTTCCACTCCATCTTTCTTACCCAATCTTTTTCCACACTGAAGTAGGGAGCTCATTGTTGCTGATATGAGTGTGAACTATTTGATGCATCATGGTGTTCTAACAAAGACTCTTATTCTTCTAAAGTCTACATGTTTCATTCAGGAGAAAATCAAAGTCTTATTTTGTCTTTTTTTTTTTTTACAGAGATCCTGAAATACTTCCTTAAAGAAGCCTTTCTATTACACCAGCTTTGCTTTATGACTTGGACCATACAATGCTTGCATATTGCTGCCCCTGTGTGATTCTAGGTGGTAGATTCTGAGAAACAAAAACCTCATTTTGTTGTGCTGTATGGCAGTGAACACTGACAAGCTTGCCATTGTCTTTCAGAAGACCACTGTGTCCTCTGTTAAACAAAATTAAACTTTTTAAAGTATTCAAGCCAAATCCATGTTTTTCCCATTAACCTAAGCAAGTCGTGTCGTCTCTGAACATAACAAAACTGTGACCTTTTCAGAAATGAATCAAGTGGTCACAGCCTGATAAGGTTAATGGACCAAAACGGTTTGGTTCGGTTCAGGAGAAGATTATGATTATAATAAAAATAATAGACCATGCTTCTTTGAAATCAGGAATAATTCTGTCCACAGTCTATCAAATATCAACAATTCACTCAGCACTAGTTGGTTGTACACATTTCCTCGTAGGCTAAATCATTATGTTTGTCACTGGGCTTCATACCTTTTTGATTACACAAACCAGACAGCAGCTGTGGTATTGCTGACCGGGGGAGGGGGTGTTATTACACACCTAAGTGTTATTCATAATGAGGCGCGTAGCACACACGTACTGAAGGGCGAGCACAGTGTAGCTGTTTGTCAGGTAAAGAGCTGCCTCAGCTCCAGCTCTTTGCCTGATGTTAGGTTAACTCAAAGTTAGGTTGAGACAGCAATTTTCCAGCATGGCACATCCACAGGTTTAACTTTATGTTGTTTTTTTTCTTCATGTTTCTTCTCATGAAGTAGCGGCAGCAGCTCAGTCTGTAGGGACTTGGGTTGGGAACCGGCTCAAGACCGGTGCGGGCCAAATGTGGAAGTTGGTCTGGTAGCTGGAGAGGTGCCAGATCACCTCCTGAGCACTGCCGAGGTGCCCTTGAGCAAGGCACCAAACCCCCTCCCCACCATCCGCTCCGGAGCGCCCACTGTGGGCCGCTCCGTCACTCTGGCTTCTCTCCATTAGTGCATGTCCAGAGGATCCTGTTTCTGCATGTGTGTGTATATTTCAGCCTATGTGTGTGTTCAAAACTGAAAGTTCCCCTTGCGGAGATCAATAACAGTAAATCTTAATCTTAATCTTCTCACTATCTTACAAATGTAAAGTGATCGCTCACCCTGCATGCACTGCAAGCTTTAACTCACACGAGGCCAGATCAGTAAAAAGTTTTTATTTTCACTAGACTTTTAAAGTCACATTATTGCCAATTTTGACATACAGAAACATCTAAAAATCATTTATCAACGAACTTCCCTTTTGATAAGTAATACAGATGTTGGCTATTTCAAGAAAAATAAACAACAAAACATAATGCAGTACTAACATGGCATTACATCCACCGTCTTGCTTCAGGCTGGGTGTTTGTGGCAGGAAATGACCCAAGGCCTGGTATTGGTCAGGGGCCTGGTGGTTTGGAAACCCTGGGTTCGAGAAATAAATAAAAGTAAGTAAAAAGCCCATTCGAAAATCTATCATCAGCTGAACTCCCAGTTTTGACCACTACAATTAAAAAAAAAAATGTCTTTGTTTATAGATACAACTTAGTGTTTAGTCTCTTGGAGGACTTATCTTTCGATGTTGGAAAGATATGGTCAACGAATAGCTTGTTAGGTTGCAGTTTTCCTGGTTAACAAAACAAAAACAGTTTTTTGAAAGCTGGTGGGGGGCACAAATCAGAAACACAACACTGAATGTGATGCAGGGTGTAAGGCACTGGATAAAAGACACTCACACACACACATCCTGTTTAGTTGAAGATCCCCCCCCCCCTTATTGTGTTTGTACCTTTCATACAGAACTGCCTGGCAAAACAAACTATCATTCCTACTGTATATCGAACACTAAAAAGCCTTTTCGATTCTTAAAACATTTGAATTTTAAACACATCTGCACCTGTAACAGTAGAATAATGATGTTTTTTTAACCACAGTAGATAAAGATTTATTTGCAGTATATAAAATATATTACATGGCTTTTTAAAATATTGCCGCTTTCTTGCCACTCCTGCAAACACCACTAGATGGCAGCATTGTGCTACATGTTCTCATTGTGCTGAGCCTTGCTGAGTAAGTCATCTGTTTATAATGCCTGGCAGGAATGATCAGTGAGAGCCTCCTGAAGATGTGCTGACACTATTGAAGATAATTCTCTGCCATCATAAAGGGATGAAGCTTACAGGATAACAATGACTTTGGGTGAAAAGCTCTCAGAACAACAGACCATTGTGTTGGATTGTGAAGCCGCTTGTGGAGAGGCTCATCATGCCCCACGGCTCATTTCATGAATATTGGTGAGACAGAAATATCAATCTAGAAGTCTTATTGATATGCTTTCAGTGGTAAATGCAAGAAAACAGCTTTATGGCTGTAATATCAGACTCTTTTTTTCAAACTGCAGTTTTAGTAAAAGACTCATTTCCACTCAATTCTGAAGTTCAAGATGACAATCTTACAAATTATAGCTACAGGCTGGTTGATTGACACAAAATGCCATCCTTTCTTTTCTCTTTTTAAAGCCCTGTGAAGAGCTTCTCACTAGTTTTGAAACAGCTTGAATTTAATAGTGATGCCGCTTAATGACCCACAAAAGCATTGGCGGTTCTATATGGGATCTTCATCTGAAGTCCAGGAAGACAATTATTGCTCACTTCAGCCTATAGGGAAGTAGATACATATTATTTTCTGCATTTGTATTTATTTTACAAAATTGCATATTGACGGACATCACAACAAGGAAACAGAGGAGTTTGTATTCCCGCCCTAGTATCCAATAAGCTTATCAGATTTTTCTCTGAAGCCTGTATGAATTTGTTTCTATGTGTGAGCATTCTTTTTTTTTTTTTTTTGGTTTAGCGTGTGTCACTTTATTTGTGTTTGGCTGCGTCTGTGTGGATTTCTGACTTTCACAGCATTACTGTTATATTGTTTCCATTTTTGTGTATTTCTGCAAATGATCTATTTTCCACATGTGTTTCCACCTTGGATGTTCTTCTTGCAGCCTGCACGCCCTACTAACCTCACTATGTGTGTGTGTGTTTGTGTGTGTGTGTGTGTGTGTGTGTGTGTGTACATATGCGTTGCCCTGCTGTGCATGTGCACACTCACTCCATTATTTGTGCGTGTGTAGACGCATGGTGTGTGCCCTTGACGTCCCTCTGTGTCTGAACTGTTGAGTGTCTCCATGCATGAGTACATGTGCGAGAGAGAAAAAACCTCTTCTTCTTTTATCTCCACCCACACACACACACCCCAACCAGCAGCAGAGTCACCATGGGACCACACACACACACACACAATAGACATGATAATTACATGTGAAGTGTTGCCCTGTGCCTTCACAGCTGATTAAAACACTGCTGGAAGTTGCTGTGATGGTATTTTCAAGGTCAAGTACACAATGTAAATTAAAGGATTTAACCTGTGAACATTTACTGAGTGGTAAGGGTTGCCAGGTTTAGCAAATATACCTTATACCCCCCGATGAATGCACACTCTAAAGGGAAACTAAGGTGTAAAAGTGATGGAAAATCCTAAGGATGATATCAAATTCACCCAAAGCATTCTGGGAAATTTCCAAGTGCTACTTCACATGAAGAATTTATTTCCTTTAAGTCAGGTCCAGATGAAGATTTTGGCAGGAGCATCTTGAGTTATCTATACTCTCACCCCCTGTTGCAACATGGCTGTGTAGGAATGTGCTAGTTTGTGTGTGTGTGTGTGTGTGTGTGTGTGTGTGTGTGTGTGTGTGTGTGTGTGTGTGTGTGTGTGTGTGTGTGTGTGTGTGTGTGTGCGCCTCCCTGGTTGGAATTGGCTCCAATCACCTATTTGATGTGGAAGGTCACCAGCTAGCCGTCCGCTAATGTTTGCCAATTCTCTGCCCCCCTCCCCTCTCTATCTGTCTCTCATAGCTGCATATGTTTTTCAGAAAAAACACAAATACCAAAGCGGGCATGACTGCACTTGTGATTGCGTTGTTCATGTACATTAAGTATAATTCTAAAAACCCCCCAAATGTTCCATTTATGTGCAGGTTTACCTTCTGTGACCGACTGTTTTCTATACTTTCTCTTTAACCCCACATTGTTAGTACTGCTGTTTGTGGTCTGATACACGGGCGGTGTGAAAGGTCCATTTACAGCACTTAGAACACTTGAGACATAATGTGCTCATTTCATTTACTCCTGAGAGGCTCTTGAATTATTGACTGAGCTACTAGACATACAGTACAGGACTGGCTGTGGGTTGCATTTGTGAGTGTGTATGTGATGGCGGTGAGTTAGGACAAGACAGAGGTTTGAAACACAAACAGGAGAATCTCATGAGGAATTCTGTTCTGAGGATGCAATGATGTGCAGGTATATTACACTTCTATGTCTTGTGCCATTGGTAGGTGATGCATTCAGTCGGGGTTTAACAATGGGATAGTAGCAAGGATATTAGAGCTTTTGGAGACTTTTTCCAAAACTTCACATGGTAGAAAAGTCTTGCTTTTCTTTGGGGGGGGGATTTATATTTATATATATATTTCTATGTCTTTAGTATGTTGATAGGACAGTGTGAAGTGCAGGAAACTGCTGAAGAAGAAAATGAGGTCGATGAAAAACCTTGTGGTGAAAGAAAAACAGCCCCCTGCGATATGGAAGTACTTCAAATCAGAAAATATGTTTTGTTAGAAACACAGATGCTTTGTTCAACATGCCAGAGAACATGCCCATTAATGTATTGTTTATATGCACGCCTCAGTCATTCTTTATTATAGTTCAACATATTGCCATTGCAATCTTTAAAGATGTTGCTGCACATTGCGCATTAGCGAGGGCTTTCTCCTGCAGCCTTCAAATGAATGGTTACAGTAAATGTCTCTATGGTACACCTTATATGACTTCAAAGCTTCTTTTTTTGAATCAAAGAGCAAATTTATGGAGATATGATTCAGTTATTGATTCATGCAGATGCAGAACAAGTCACAATCAACGTCCATATCCCCTGCAGTTAGATTAAACACAAACTGGATGAAGATCACTTTCAAAGATTGCTCTGCTTGAAGACATGCAAACTGAGCATGTTTGGGGGTTTTGAACTTAAGGAGTCACGTGGGTCACAGCTGGAAAAAAAAGATGATATCGTCTATCCGATAAATTGTTTCAAGGAGATTGGGGATTTCTTGCAGTGAATATGCAACAGTGAAATCGTGATAATCATCAGTAATTGGTCTGCATCTCGTGTAATGTTAAGTGTGAGAATAATAATGTGTTCTTCGAACTAATACACAAATTGCCTAAGGGGGGGAATCGAAAGCTTTTTACAGTCTCTGTCATAGCTGCACAGGTCAATCAGGATGATAATATTAGATGAAACAGTTTCTTTCTTTCAAGAGTTGCTTTTGATTCAGATCAAGTGATCTATCTCTCAATTCTGTCAGTTTTATTCCTCAACAAATCAGACAAGAAGATGAAATGGCACGATTTTGTCCCAACTCCGTCGATATCACAGCGCCGCCTGTGCGTAAAAAAAAAAAAAAAAAAAAAACTCGAAGCTTGCTAATATATTTATTAGCACGTCTGTCGGGCGTGGCTGGCTTGTCTGCCTGGAGGGAGGGAGAGACTGTAGCCGTATAGTCTGCTCAGGGGGGCTGCTGGATGCTCCGTGATGGATGAGGAGTGACAGATCGGGGTTAGCCGCCAGGGGAGCACCATTTTCTTCCAGCGCACGGTCTTCAAAAAAGAAGGAGGTATAAGACGCTGGACGCGGAGGGAGGAAGGGACGAGAAACAGACCCATCTCCACCCCTCTTCTTGCTCTCCCTCTCTCTCTCTCTCTCTCTCTCTCCCCGTACTCTCGTGCATCACAACATAGTGGGCTTTACCCGGACTGCACCGCATTGACGCTTCTGCTGCTGCCGCTGCGACCCAACCCTCCAAACTAACGCATACACAAGGCAGAGAGAATCATCTTTTTGGAAGCTGGAAATTGGGTGTTTGTGCGGAATCTGTGTCTGGATATGCAGCATCTCCCTCGCGTGCTCTCTTATTTTTCATTCAAGGTGGATTCGCTGTCCTCCTCGGTATTGTCAAGACTTTTAAAGCAAGAGTGAATATTGCAGGAGGGGGACGGTTTTTTGCGACTACTGCATAGTGCACAACAAGACATCGGACTCTAACTTACAAGTTTGCAGAGCTCAGATCATGACTGCAGCTGTTCACTTACAGGAGTGAGCCCTCCTCTCCCCCCACCGCCCCCTCTTCACCGCCTCCAACATGGGTATTGACTGAGATGCGAGGATGCACTTGACTTGTGAGGATTAAAAAAGAACTGCGCGCAATAATTCCTGGATCATGCAGATTCTGCAGCCTAGGACGTTATTTGTGTTGCTGGCACATGCACATGTAGTATTATCACTAAGATATAACGGAGGGGCACGGAGCAACAGCAGCACATACTCTTCCAGGAGTTTGCATGGGTCACTCCGAGAGAGTCATCCAAATAAAGCCCGGGACCGTGCGCTCTCACCGGGGCACGCCACAGGTGCATCCCCGGCGGAGGGCGCGATTTTCCGGGGGACTTTTAACTCCACTCACCCCTGGAAGAGGGTGGTGGCAGAGGAAACGTGGCGGATTGGACACAACAAACGCGACTATACTAGGACTGTGACACCCGTGGAGGATCCCAACACAGGCTCACATTTGGGCCCGACGCGCCACCATAATAGGAGGATAAAGTTGAATGGCACGGGGACGCCAGCAGGTGGACACTACAATGCGGCTAAGCCCTCTTCAATGGGACGGGGAGACGGAGGAGGGGGACCCGAGGAAGGCGACAGGCACAAGAGAGGCACAAAAGACGAGCAGAAAAAAGCCTGGAAGAGGTGGGGGAGAAACCGCCAGAATAAAAGCGCGGCGGCTTTGGCTCAGCCTCACGCGTCGCCGTGGGAACCCGTCCCCAAGCCGGTGGCCCTCACCTCCACCGACCTGCCCTTTGACCTCTTCACCAGGAGGCCCGAGTTATTCACTTTCAGGGAGGAGAACCCCTGGGACGCCACACCGATCACCCCACCAAACTCGCAGGACTTCGGGGACGAGATCAAGAACCCCTTTTACCCGGTGACGAGCGAGACTTACGGCGCTTACGCGATCACGTGCGTCTCAGGGGTTATCTTCCTGGTTGGGATAGCGGGCAACATCGCCATCCTGTGCATCGTGTGCCAGAACTACTACATGAAGAGCATCTCCAATTCGCTGCTGGCTAATTTGGCTGTCTGGGATTTTGTGCTCATCCTCTTCTGCCTGCCCATGGTGGTGTTTCATGAGCTGACGAAGTCCTGGCTGCTGGGGGAATTCACCTGCAAAGTTGTGCCCTATGTGGAGGTAAACTCACTTTAAATCCTGCCCCTTTATTTGTAGTATACCCTGAATGTGTCATGGGCGATTACATCGCATTGTAATAGACGTTTGAAGCAATGCCTCCAGGCAGTATCTCCCTCTGACAGATGGTAAACGGGGCTCAACCAGTGTCATTTACATATCAGCAACCTTGTCTGAATGTGATCACACCTCAGGAGTGACAATAGGGCATAATGTGCTTCACTCTGGGGGATGGAAATGAAGCAACACACTCTTGTTTCCTGAGTCAATGGACTTTCAGAGTTTCAGTTTAACATCCCTGGCCGGCCAGATAATAAACATATAGGATGTCACTTTAGCCGATAACAAGGGGACTCTGTTAGTCACTAAAGAGCCTCACCTAGCCCTTAAGGCATTCACAAAAAATACACACACCCACACACATGAATACACACTAGGATTTAACATAATATCACTTATATCCTGTCTACCCTGACCTTCACACACTGGTGCTCTTTCTCCCACTTTGTCCTTTTTCATGTTTGTCCTTTACACTCTGGTTTTTCTGCAGTGGTGGATCCTCCACAGATTATTTACACACCATGTCCACGCTTCCCTTTGTACCCTCACTGCAGCTACACCAGTGTCACACTCACTCACACAAGGTGCTTTGGTTTAAAAGGGGGGGTCTTAAGCTCGCTTTGAATGGCTGCATTGTCATATAGCTTAAGGGAGAATACAAAGGGAGGTTTGAAAGGCTTATCTTAACCCAAATGCATCTTAAATTATAGACTGAAGAAAACTGAATGCAGAGGAGTTTTGGGTGTTGCCTGAGGTGTATGAGTAAGTGCAAGATTTGCTGTGTGCTGCAGCAAAAGAAAAATCAGCCTAGAATGTAACCAAACCCAGGGAAGACTAGATTAGAGGGAAGAGAGTTTCTTTAGCTTCTATAGCCGGGCAGGCCCCACCCTCCAGAGACTCCAGACAGGCTGTGACGTCTTGCAGTGATAATACAAGCAGGTGAAAGGTGTTTTGTTGTCCTCCTTCTGCTTTCAAGGAAGACAAAAAGCTATGATGCAACAAATTCCTCACTAAAAAGATTATTTTAGGCATTATAGCAGAAAGATGACAGAGTTATCTTGTGTCTTCAAATGCAGTTTTTATAGCCTCTTGATTTAGGAATGATTGCACTGATAGGTCTGCATGAAAACAGATCACATCTAGATGGATATACATATCCTTTTTGCGGTCATAGTCACCTAAAATGTTGGTGCAGTATCAGCCATTTTCTTTGCTGGAGTCAAGCCACTGGAAGTTTCACATACATACTTGTATTTGCAGTGTTCCAAGTTATTAACAAGTACAGAAAGATTACAGGCATTTGCACCATTTTGTCTTTGCTGCTGCAATATTGCATCCAAGCTCTTCCTCACTGACCACATACTGTAATACATGTGCAGTATCTCATGTCATTTGCAAACGCCTTGTGAGTGCATGTGTTTTAATTACTTGGGGATCAGAGTGACACACAGCCCCCCTCCCTGTGTTATTGCGTATGAGCTACCAAAGAACCACAGGATGTGATTTAATAACTGGAAGTGCAAATGCCCATTTGAGAATGCAAGGTACAGTATGTGTATTAGGATGTGTGTTTTTTTTTTATCGAGCATATCTATCAGAAAAAGAGTACTGGGGGCTTGTGAGTTGTTTTATGGTGTCCTCAGAATGTGTGTGTGTTTGGGTGCATGTGTCAAACAAGGCCATGAGTAATGCAGCCCGGGGGCTCACTCTCTCTCCCTGTGGATCATTCAGGGAAACACACACAGGCACACACTTTCACCCTATGGAGTGACTTTATTCTTCACTTAACCCAAATTCAGTCACCGGGGACGGGAACATTTGCCCTGAAATATAGACACACAAACTCAGTCACACATACTTGAAAGTACACACAATATTCTCACAGGCACATTCAGGCTCATACGAAAACCAGACTTCATGTGTGTGTGCATGCATAATAAGAAAATGTGGTATAGATATTTTATCACAGTCCCCTGAGTGAGCCTCCCTTGGCGGTGCCTTCAGTAAACCTTGTTTTATTCAGTGTTGTGTAGAGCTTGGACTATTCCAAAACCTCAAAGAGAAAGTGATTCTTAGGTGTGAGATGTGAGGAAACATGACAGGAAAACTGCAAGGATTCTGCACAAAATAAAAGACGTGGGCTGCAGCCAGAATGTCAGACACGCTTTCGTTTCATGCTGCATAAAACTCCTCTAGGAAATGATGTACAGAGCAGCAAAAAAAACAGCCAAAACTAATGTGCAATAATTGAGTTTCTTCACCTGCTTGCTGATTAGGATTAGACTTGAAAGTAGGCTAAAGTAAAGAAAATAACAAGTGCAGCAAGCATTTTATAAGCCAGAGGGGGGACTGAGTCATTTGTCAAGGTTCATTTAGAATCATGCTACTGTAACCCTGTGAGATTAAAGCGTTTTTGTCTCATAAACTCTAAATGAAGAGATGCTTACAAATCACTGCGCTTTATTGGCGGAGGCCTGTTGGTTAATGTTTAGCAGCATAACATCACAGTTGTTTACAAGCTGTTATGATGATGCCAGTAACAAATAGACTCTGCACATCGTGAGGGGCCAGAGGTAGACCCATGCATTGTGCTGAAATTGGTGGTAATGGCAGGAAATACATCAGCTTGACACATTTGCATTCACTCAGATAGACACTGCACATCTTGAGCTGTTTAGTTGCTAAAAACATCTGTTTATTTGGAAAGAGTAGATGTACAACGGTAAACTATATCTTATATATAATGTAGACAAACATTATTAGGGCTAAATCAATTGTAATTTTGTCATCTTTGTACATTGTACCGCTCTCTAGACATAACTCTTTCTTAACCCTGATTTACGGCTAATTACAGCTGTGAACATCATGTGGGACATAAATCTCACAACTCTCTAAAGGCTCATTCATACCCCTGTGGTGTATTGGCCTTTCCACTAACAGGCCTGCTTTTACCAAATGCTATATAGTATGAAGAACAAAGGCTTGTATCGATTAAATAGTAAAGGTGCAAAAATGTGTTTCCTCATGGAAAAATATGGTACAACTTTAGTTATATTGTATGTCCTTAGTTGTAGATAAAAAAAAGGACGTTATCATCAGCGTAAAGTCGCATTTTGGATGTGTAACTGAGTCTATATGTGCTAGAATGGAGTACGGAAAGTTCTGCTGCTGAAATGTTTCGCTCAAATTTTCTCTCTGCATTTCTCTGTCATACTTTATCATGTTACACTCAAGTTTGTGGTGAATCCCTCAGTATGTGTGCCTCATATACATCTGGCTGCTGCTGTGTTGTACAATATGGTAGGCCGTCTTTATATGGTACAGTGGGCTTCAGCAGGCAGAGGAGGGAGAAACAGATTATTGAAGCGAAGCAGGAAATAGGCTGAGGAAAGTGATAGATTGGGGAAAAGGGGGGGAAGAGAGTGAGCTGCATGGAGCCACACAGGGCCAGAGGTAGACCCATGTATTGTGCTGAAATTGGTGGTAATGGCAGGACATACATCAGCTTGACACATTCGCATTCACTCCTCCAACTCACACAAATTTGGTTTCTCTTCATGTTTCTGTAACGTCCTGGAATATGTGGACATTTCACAGGACCAGGAGAGTCCAGGTACCTTTGATGTGTTCCCTTATTCCAAAAACTTTCATTCTATAAATATTTTAAAAACTAGATGAAAAAAGTCCCAATTGCCTGCTATCTACCCACACATTCTCACTTACAGCTATAATATGGCAGCTTGCTTCGTGGCCCTATGTTGTATTTCAATTTGGAGTCCCTGTTCCAGATAGCTCACTATAATAGATCAAGTAAGACTTTGAAAATAAAGCAGTGAAGTCAACAAAGATATAAAAACAACTTTTGGTTAGATTTGAAGTTTTATTGATCAGTTTGATGTAGCCTATGTTTTTTTTAATCACACTGGTATTAGAAGAGTAATTGGGCTCATACTAGGTATTAGAATAGATGCAGGAGATGAAAGAAGAATATTAGGATACTGGAACATAGAAACAACTAAGTGAGGTTAAGGGACCAAAAATAATTGTTCGGTACAAATGCTAACATAGTACAGATTTAGCATACGTATGCTACATGACTAAAGTATACTACAAAGGAAGTCAACTTTTCGAGGAGCTCAGATTTGACTTTTTGGTTTCTTCAGGAGTAGAGACCCAGTCACCTAGATAAAAGTCCCGTGTTTTTGCCACTGACAACCAAGTAGGAAACTCAATGTTGAAATAAAAAGCTGAAGAATACAGCACCCAGAAATGACTCTAGTCCAATATACCTTTTTTGTAAAGTGAGGAAAGAGAATGGCCTGTCAATCCATTCTCATCCTTATCTGTCTGTTTTGTCTATATGTCAACATATCTAGCCTGTAGACAAGACAAGCACACACACATATACACACACACATATACATGCACAAAGTTAGCGGAGTGTGCTGATCTTCCAGATGGGTGGGATGGCCTTCTCTGCACTGATCACTGCCCACGGCTGTTCTCCCCCCCTCTCTCTCTGCATCAGCTATCAGTGATTAGAAGCAGGCCTCAGGGGGAAAACACACACACACACACACACACACACACACACACACTCAACACACTTACATACAGTGTGAAAGCATTTGGGCACACACACACAGGCACATTTATGCATACTCACTGAATGCACACACATATAATATAACACATTGCAACTAGTTCCTTCCCTCTGCCCATCTATTAGGCATGTGAATGGTCATTAATTGGAAGATATGTAAATTATTCAGGGTCTATAATTACTTGCTCTACATAATGCATGATGAGGCCATTCAGTCAGCTCGTTGTCCGTGGATCAGTAGATATTGTGCTTTATATGATGAGACAACACCATACAACAACAGAAGTGAAGATTAGGCTTGCTGTTAGTTCCAATTAGCCAAATTGATAATTATCCATGT